AAAAGTAATTCCATTATAAGTTCGCAGTTGGTTGAAAATTTTCGAGTTGCAAATAATACGAGGGGCCTAAAACTTTCGTTTCATACACTAATGTGATTGGAGTGCGCGGCACTAAGCATATTAGAACTTTTAAGTGGTATAAACAAGTTGGCAGTTTTCATAGTTACGAGTTCAGTTCGTCCACGATATCTGTTGGTCGATGATTGTTTATATCATAATAATCTATATATATTATAAGACAAAATCTTTATCCGCGTCTGTCTGTATGTTCGTCAAAATCTCAAAAACTACTAAATGGATTTTCTTTAAATTGGTTGAAATAACCGTGCGAAGCTGGCTCTGGCCACTAGTATGAAATAAAACAAAAACTATGTAGTTAAAATCCAAAAAGCTTTAAAGGTGACTGTTATAGTACAGATGATTTGAAATAAAGTAACTAAAATTATAAATTATCTAGTTGTACCCGTAGTTTCACCCACGTTAAATTTATAACGTATAAGTTATTCTGATGTATAAGCTATATTATAGTCAGGTTTCATTAAAATCCATTCGGTATCTACTTTTTGTTGAAATAGTAACAAACATTCATCCATCCACCCACACTCACAAAACTTCGGCGTTTATAATAAACTAGCTGTGCTCACGGTTCTCCCCTATGAAATTTATAGTCTGTGGTATTCTGATGTACATATAAGCTATATTACTGTAATGTTTCAACAAAATCCGTTCAGTAGTTTTAGCGTGAAAGAGTAACAAACATCCATCCAGCTATTCATCCATATTCATAAAGTTTTGCGTTTATAATAATAGCAGGATTATAGAATTTCATTACATATGGTTCTGGAAATATCATATCGTCTCCAAACCAACACAATTTGAGATACGGGTTGACATTTTTTTTACCTATATATTACCGAACTAACAATGTTGTACCATGACAAATAAATTACAAATTAACTTTCTAAACACTATCCAACCGCTTATCTAAACTATATTTTGGAAGTATCGTTCTCAACTATAATGAGAGCTCGAAAATCGATAACGGGATTAAACTGGTAAATTGGATATTGAACATAAGCCGGGATAAGTTCGTGGTGGACACAGCAAGTATTTGTAATTAGCAGTAACTAAGAGGATCGGGGACGATGTCTGATTAAAACTGGCTTAACTCGAGCAGTTTGCTGCCATCTCCGCTGCACGTTTAAAGCAGTGTTGCCACCTTTGTGGTTTCACCGCTAAAACTGGTGGATTTTGGATTTGAAATCCACCACCCTCTTTAGTGTTTAAAATTTATTTGTGCTAAGTAAAAATTGGGCAGGTTAACGGTATTTCTACAGATCTTCCGTTGTCTGTCAAGTATAAAATAATACAATTTAGACAGGTATTAGATATCGAGAAATGGTAATCGATTTTACAAATGTTGGATTCAAATATACATATGTGGATTGTCAAATGTTATGTTCAACGATGTTGATATTGCTCAGTGCCTTTGACTACCCCATTAAGGATAACAGGATATAAAATATAGACTATATATTTGAATAATAAATATATAGTCTCTGATTGAGTCCTGTAGATTTTATACAATATCTTTAGAATTGTTGTTATATATTTGTTGAAAGAAACGTCTATAACAGCTTCATGGTAATTTAATATCAGTTTAAATAAACACTTAATATATAACTTTGGAGCTTACTTGAATAAATTTACAATGTGGCGGTATAGGTCCAACAGAAATTATTAGTATTTTAACAGATTTAATTTTGGATATGTTTTTGCTAGTAGTTCTATTGTTTACTCTTCTGTATATTGTTTTATATTATGTATGTTATTTAAATGTAGAGATGGAGAATGTCTTAAATGTAATTAGCTGATCAAGATATGGTTATTTTTAGATCCCAACAACTGTTCGGGAAAACCGGATAAACAACTTAGACCCTGAGAGTTCGGTCTACAATACCTAATTAACTTTGACTCTTCCAAACGTCTTTGGTTTTAGCGTTGGCGTGATATGTTCGTGACTTTTTGTTATATTTTAGACAATTAATTAAAAAAAAAAGAAGAATGAATATATGTTTATCCGGCTAGCTATTGTTGAGAAGAACTGGCAATAAACTCAACTGGTACATTTTTTTAGGTTATAATTTATGTAGTCAGTTTCAAGCCCTAAATATTATATAGCATTTAAGTAGTGTGCATGTCCAATATTTCAAAAATAAATAATTCCTTGTCTGAACAATTAGCATAATACAAGATCCTCTTCTAAATAACTCATCTCTCAGTCTCATAATCACATTTACAAAAAATATAGACCTTTTCGATTGTATTTTGTTAAATAAAGCTGGAATGTTAATATTCATTGCTCATAGAATACACAGCGTCTATATAATATTTTAGTAAACTGTTTTGCACCACTGTAAATATAAAATAAAATTCCTATACCAAAATTGTCATCTCATGAAAACATCAATAACAATACACTTGGATTAAGGGAGTCTCAGAAGCTCTTAGTGTTATTTTTTCTTGCTCCAGATTCCGGATAAATATTTGAATTGTGGAACTGGTGTGGAAAGCCACTATTGTACATGAGATCTATTTTGATTCGACAAAACACTACTAGACCTGGCTTAAATCTTGAAAATACATAGTAAATTCATATATGTTTGCGTCGATTTCGACGGCCAGTGTTGTGAAGTAATGTATTGTGTAAAAATATTTTTATATGTAACTGGACTACCAAACAAGCTTATGGCCCAAGTGAGGCCGTAGACAAACGTTACCTACACATAAACAGCACCACCTCATTATTTGATGAGGTGGTGCTGTTTATGAAGGTCAGGTAACAATTTGGCCTTTGATTTACTGCTAATCTCATTATTTATTTACTACTAGTTGTGCAAGCGATGTTCCGGAAATTTATAGCCTACGTGTTATTTTGATCTATACGTAATTCTTGTGAAGTTTCATTAAAATTCATTCAGTATTTTTTTGCGTGAGAGTAACAAACATTCATCTATCTATCTATTCATCCACACTCACAAATTTCCACGTTTATAATATTAATTATAACTGAATTGTTTTTAAAGAAATAAACATTTTTTCATTTTCATTAATAAGAATGAGCGTCGTATTTGTTGTCTTGTGGTGTATGTTGTAATAAATTTATTTTTATTCTTATATTGACATAAAGACAGTCAAAAGAAGAACTAGAAATATTGTCATTAAGTTGGGGGTGACCTGGAATATTGGAAATAGACTTAAAAAATAACCTTGTAGTTAACCCAAAATTGTCTGAATCTGTCATCTAACATGAACTAACCAATTGGATACTGAGTTTTTAACCATGCTGGGTATGTAAGCTGACGATTATGTAGATTTTTTTAATTGTAAGAAGTACAGTGGTATAGGTGGTAAAGTTAAATATAAAAAGTATGTATCCTATTAAAAAATACGTACGTACGTATGTAGGTGCTGTTTTAGTTTTGTCAATCATAATCATTCATTTCTTATTACCGGCTAATTTTTTTAAAGTATATGTAAAGGTTGTTTAGATGTAATTTGGAGACGCTTTTTATTATATATAGTAATAAATAGTAAATACAGTAAATAGAAATATAGAAAATATAAATGGTTAAGTGAGTAAGCAAATCGGGGCATATTGTACTGAATAATTAAACGGACTACGACTGAAATTACTGGATTATTATTGAGTCCTAACAATTAAAAGTTTCTGTATTCAATTAACAATTAAGGTTTTACGACACAGCTGCTCTACTAAGTGACTTCTGACTAACTTTCATTTACATTAATATTAGCTTACACTACTGTTAAAGGTATCTAACGCTAAACTTACGCCTGTACTTTTATAAAATTATAGATATAAATAATGCTTTTTTTTAAAACACCTACATAGTATACATAGAAACTCCCGGACCGATACCAACAATCATACTTATGAATACAAATTTTTGCACCGTGAGAGGAATCGAACCCATCGGAAGTAAAGCGGTGTGCTAAACCGGTAGAGGCCGTCGCATAGAGTTGTCAGTAACAACAAAATTGTGACATGTCTACAATTTGTATAGCTCATGATTGTATTCGAGAATTGTGTGTAACTGTATTGTAAATTTATTATTTTACCCATATTTCCCCTTGTATTTACCCTCTCTTAAGCATTACGTTGCATGTGCCGAGGTGTGAAGAAACAATAGAGATTGTTACCGCGTCAGTTCGGACATGCAATCTACAACTTATTGTTTTGTTTAAACGATATTTATATTCTAGCCAAGAATATTATTAATAGTTTCTTTTTGTTTGTTTTTATTAAAATTTAAATATTTTAAAATTTACTTATTGGTGCTTTGTAAATAATAAAAAAAAAATACTGAGTTATGTGTTATTTTATGTAAGTAATGGTACATCACTTAATAGATTAATATTATTTTCTTAAATTTCGCTACCATTAAAATGTATGAGACCAGAAATATTCGGTTTGAAATTTAAATAACTTAAAGATCTTGTATAGATCTTAAAGAATTAAACACCTAAATTTTCCTCCGGAATAACTTTATTGACAGATGAAAAACCGTACAAAATCCGTTCTGTAGTTTTTGACATTATCACGAAGGTACATATAGAGAAACGCAATAAGGACACTTTGTTTTATAATACGTATAGATTAAAGTCGTTTATGGCATTAAAATCATAATAGATACAAAATTTACTGCCTCGGTTTTCTAGCGGTTTAACACTCCGCCTCACTTCGGATGGTCATTTGTTCGATACCTCGAACGATGTAAATATTTTTATTCATGAGTATGATGGTTTTGTAAATGGGTGTTTTCTGTGTATTACATTAAATACATAATATACATAGAATATACAAAAAACAAAATATTTTCTTCAGTTGTACAGTACCGATAACACAAGTTCAGCTTACCTTGGGACAAGATGGGGATGTGTGAATTGTTTAAAATTATTATTATTATTGGTATATTCACCTATAGTATAGAAGAGAGACGAGGGCATGTAGTAGAAGGTTGACAAGATGGTAGCCAGCAGGCTGGAGACCATGGACAGCATAGTTCCACCTGAAGGTGAGTACTGTCAACGGCCGGTACGACTTGTGTGACTGCTCCTGTAAATAAAAATACAATATTAGTTTCATACTAATAAGTAGGGAAGGCAGCATAGGGCTTACCCGATGGTAAACGATTACTATAGATAACGATTAATACAGTTATTTATATTTTAATTTATATATATAACATTTATAGTTATCCATACTAATATTAAAGTTTGTCTGTCTGTTTTATCGTCAAGATAGACTATAAAATAGACTGAATTACGAGGACAGACACAGGTAATTCAATCTGCTTCAGTTTCAGATATAAGATAGCCTTAATATAACAACTATCTAATATCTGAAACAAAAATAGACAAAGTCACAGTAAACAACTAGTTATATATGAAGTAATGGAGTATAAAGTACAAGTCACATTATCATGTAGCCAGGAATAGAATAAAATAATTACATATTGTTAGAAATATACGTTTGTAGGTAGGCATTAAAATTAAATTTCTACGAGCAATTGACAATTATGGATTGTTATTCCCTTATTAAGTCCCGATGTTCTTAATTTCCCTATATACCTTCACGGCTATAACCCTAGATGGGATAGTTAGAGGCTTTATCTACAGTTGATGTCGTTAGTAGTGAAGTTAAAACTTAATATGCCCCTATTTCGCTGAGTATATTTTGAGCAGGGACGAACCTATCACCGTCACTTTTATTTATATTGTTTCGTATTGGTGTTTCTATCACTACGACGACTACGATATAATAAATTGAAAGATAAAGTTTTTTGGTGTCGGCCAGAATTAACCTTACAACCTTTGCGGTTTATAAGTAGGGTTCAACCACTAAGCCATGCTGATTGCCTAAAATAAATATACGTGTTTATTTGTAGTTACATAGAATTTTTACTACAATGACAACATTACAACAGTGTTGTAATTTAAATAAAAAAAACTTATTTCATGGTTGTTTACAATTTATTATTCCCATTACAAATAATATTATCACGTTTATATACTGTGAACAAAATTACAATTAATTACACGTAATAATACCACGATATACTACACGTGCTTATCCCAAAAAAGCGCTTTTACGACACGAGTTACGAACAAAAATGTTTGTGTGTCATAAACATGATTCATAGGCGAGCAAAATTAGCAAGTGGAACGGCAATATAGCTGGGCGCTTCTTTAAATGAAATTCCATGTCAGGTGGGTAGCTAGTGCCGTAATGGGAGCGCATTTATCAAACATAACAATATGGGGGTGCTAATAAATATCAGTTGTCGCAACTTCCGAAATCCTATAGATCGTTGTATACGACGTGTTTATAACGTTCGGGGTTCTGTAGCTATATCGCACAGTTAAAATTTCTGACTAAAAAAATTTTGAAATTAGTCTTTAAGGCAAATATTTTAGAGCGGATTTTCGAAAGTTTGTAAATTTAAAGTAGGTACTTTACGAATACTCATAAATTAAAAATTTAAAAAATATATTTTAATTTCATAAAAAAAATTAGATTTTAGATATTATGATTTTGTTCCACTTTATAGAAATCTTCCCGATATTTTAAAAGTTTGTTTCCATAATCGTAAGCTTTTAATAATATCACAGAATAGCTTTATTATAAAGATATTAGGTTAAGCTATTTTGAGTATATTTTATTTTAATAAAGAAAATCAAAATTGATCTATATATAGGATTACATTGTATTTTAAATATAATTGAATATGACTAAGATTTTAATAAATTAAATCTAAGGTATTGCTAATTTTCAAAGGTCCTAATTATTATTAGGACCTATAAAAACAATCATAAATTTCAGCTACGTTTAATATTGTGGAAACGATTTCGGAATTGTAAAAGGACAATAAATCCATTGTACAAACTTCTAAAATGTTAGTTATATATAATTTATTATTATATTCAACTTCTATTATTGTAGGTATAATTTAATCATGTAACTCTTTTACCTGTACCAAGGAGAATTAATGAAATGAACTGAAACCATTTTCTTTTAATACGTCTAAACTGTTTCATTTCCCTTTTACGTTGCTGAAGCGAGACGCAATTAATCCAGCCGGTCTACGTACTTACCTGAGGAATGTGTAATATGGAATTCAGGTGGCATGGCCATCGGGTACAAGTTTAACGGCTGACTGAGGCAGGTCTGTGTGCCAGTAGTGAAATACTTCATGTGGTTCTAATTTAATGAGGACCGCGATTCTCGGATATCCTATTACCAGAATTATATTTATTTTATTATCTACATTTTTGTCTGCTACAGTTTAGATAATATTTTCTATGTATGAAAATATTTTATATAATTTTTGTCGAGTGGAAAATAGAGATCTTTACATAAAATATAAAATTACTCACAAAAGTTCTCCTAACAAACTCAGAAAGCACTAAGACTACCCTATTCGTTAATTTTTTTAAATTTTTATTTAAAAGAAAAAAAAACTGGAAAGGAAGTTGCTTAAAGCTGAGGAAAAATTAAATTTGAACGAATAATACACAGAGCAATTATCAGTGATTATTGTTTCTCCAAAATTGCGTAATGGTTTATATAATTAAATAAATCATTGGAAAGGAAGGGAGCGTAACACACTAAAATGTAATACGGTGTACAATTCAAAATGACGCAACCCCCTTCTGCATTGTGGGCCGCATTCATCAGTCACACCGAAACAAATTGATGGGTTATGATAAATAATAGAGGGCGACATGGCGGCACGGCGCGGAAGCAGGATCGTGTCAGGCTCGCCGTCGTGGTCATACGTCAAGTTGAAATGCTCCACGCTTTCCTATTTTGGCATTTTCGTATAAATTGTTACAACTTTTAATTTTGAAAATAGAATGCTATTGTAACAATAATCTATTTTGAAATTAATAAGTGTAATAAATACAAATGACCGTTGCGTGTTCGAATTTGTTACTTTATGAAATATAGTTTTTAACAAAGAATACAGATTAGGTTAAGAAAATGGATATTATTTTATTCTACAGAATAAAGTTTAAAGTTTTTTAGAGTTGTATTTTATTTACGACTAAATATTAGTATACATAACGTTCAACGTAAGGATCGTGGAAATAGGTACTTGACTCTGAAAATAGTCATAGTATTATGTTTTATGAATATAAACTAAATAACTTTCCCTGGGGAAAGTAACCGAAATACGAATATGAGAAGATTTTCATACATTATACTTTATGTCCATGATCGATATTATGTATTACTTAATTAAATCTTATATTCATACATGATATGGTTAGCTAAATTTTTTAAATCTTTTCTTTACCACTCATTCCAGATTTTAGTTGTTATTATCATTTACTGAAAAAATTTCGTTTGTACATTAACATACAAAATTATATATAATGTAATATTGTCGACACCCATTTAACATGCCGTTATTATAACATATATATAAATACAGATGGTTCATTTAAAAACTTATATTTCATAAAGATCTACAGTATTAATATAAATTTATCATTTTATCTTGTATTATGTAGATATACTCTCATCAGTTTAATAATGTAATATGGTCGTTACATTCTCGCTAAGTGAATCACAATTACTCAGTATAAGAAGCCGCCAACATTTGATTATGAACTCGTACCTCATATATTGTATTAAAAACAATGTCGGTTGATATTGTACGTGTATTCAAATGAAGCAATGCCGTTGATGTTCAGAGAATTTCGTCAATTAGCTGGCGGCGGTTTAAGTGTACTCCTATGTAATGCAAACATTCTCGGATAGACATTATTTTACCGAATTTGCTCCAACGACAGCCTGCCAGATGGTAACAGCTTCTTATATTTGTTCAGGAGATTAATGTCTAGAGCTGTCGCCGTGTAATAACACGGAAAGGATCGGCAGCGGGCGAATTATAGAAATGCTGTATTAGCACCGGCGTGGAGTATCAATAGATTAAATACATGTGTTTCTGTGGAATAAAAACATTGGAATTGTGTTCTAAGATTTTTGTGTATGGTATACAAAAGTGCTTAAATTTAAATTTATTGGAATAAAGTATTTTCTATTATATTCTAGTTGTGGATATAAAACATGACATAGAACGTAACAAGAAATAGAACCAATTATTACAGAATTCGTACGTTCAAGGGTTTTATGACCAATAAAACCCACTAAATTAGTCGACTTTTTAAAGAATATTATATAAAATTATATTCAATATCAGACATTTTTTAAAGTGATGGAGTTTTTCGTTTATATACCAGAATATTTTTCACGTATTCCAAATTCATAATTGATATTCAGATATCATTTTTAATTAAATCTGATCCGTCCATATTTCGCAGTTGACAATAATGGCTCAAATGATGATGAATGATGATAGAGCATGGATTTTTAAGTAATAATTACAACCAATTGCAGGTTTAATTCAGTTCGAATATAAAATTATACAAGTAATATGAATTTTACTATAAAATTCGCTTTCATCCGAAATACTTGCAACAAAGAAATACAAATCTAACGTTCCGAGGTTGATTTTCTATTAATTTTTTTTTATAATTTTTCCCTCATCCAGGAAAACGCGTGAAACAGCTTTGATGAGAGCGGCACATTGTAAACGAAGTACCCTTTACTGATTTCCCTTTATCTCGGCGAAGGGAAAAAGTGTGTACTACAAACTCAGTGCCCAAGGGCGTGAGAAAAAATGGCTAGAGCGAAAGGTCGCTTTTGAGTAATCCCTGGGCCAAAGTTGCTGTGCCATTATACAAGAGAGAAAAGCAATTTAGATGTGGATATAACGCCGAGATTAAGGTAAGCTTGAGTAATATTGTAGCAATTACTTAGTGTACACACAAGAATGAAGAATTTAATTCTCTTACCTTTTTGCTATGTTAATCGTTTCTAATTCACGTCAAGAGATTACAAGCTAATATTATGATGAATAATGCATATTAAATAATTTATAATAGTGTGTTTTTAAGAGATAGAAAACATTTTGTGTATATTTCATTATTTTAACTCGTAACTGGTATCTAAAATACAGATTTCTACGTAGTTTAGGTATCAGTGAA